AGGAAGCAGCTTACCACGTGTTTAAGAGTGCTTGTCTGGAGTCTGCCCCTCTCGCCCATTGTCGAGCGCCAAGTAATGTCAAGCCTGCCCAGCGCTGTCGGCTGGCCTGGAAGTTGTGATACGTGAAGCCCAGCCTCATCAGAGGCGAATGTACCACTCGATTGTCCCTTTAAGTTGGCAGATTGGCCGGCGGTAGCCACCGAGCAGCCTCCAGACGAGGAAGGTTTGGGCAGCGGCGGAAAATGATAGAGAAACTGGCGGACGTCACGCGGCTGAAGCAGATTAATGGCCCCAAAGATACTTTCGCCCCTGGCAGGCAGTGAAAAAGGAACCATAAGGTAAAAAAGAGATCGAAATGTTGGCTTCAAAATTATTGTGAAATATTGACAAATATTAGTAAGGCATTATCGAAGAGAATAAAAGAACGAGAAAAGCATGTGGACAACATTTAAATAAAAAGATTTATTCTTAAATGTTGACAAGTTTCTAAAGTGCTATGCAAACCCAAGGGAACGCTTGGGGCAGAAAAGGTGGATCTCAATCGCCCTCTTGTGCAATCGACTCTGAAGGTTCAAACTCATTAGTTACGGCCGTGTAGCCATTCGGGAAACAAATTTGCTTTGAGATACCAATGAGGGTGAAGACGAGACCTAGACGAAGCTGAAGTTGCAGAGCGATCGTTAGCTCACGTTCAGCTCTACTAACAGACGTCGAAGTATTTAAGATGACTAAAATTAATACGCAGCTGGCTATGTAAAAAGGAAAAAAATCCGAATTTATTCAAATATCAAATAGTATTTAAATATATTTATCACCATAAATTAAAAGTATATACCATTATTAGTATATGTATGTATAAATATAGGATCCCAGCTTTTTACTTCTTCCAAAAACGAAGAGATCTCCTATGCATAACTTTACTTTCAATAGCCTCTATTATTTTTCTTTTAACCGCAGACGTACCATACTCAGCAAACTTACTAGTTTGAGGCCATTTTATCTCATGTCCAGTTTTTACCATGGGTTCGGCTACTTCTAGCTGTTGGACCCAACTTCTTTTATAAGCATTTTCGTTTTCCTCCAATCTTTGTCGAATAGATCAAGAAAACACAAAAATGCTTGTAAAAGAAACTGGGTCCAACGATCAGAGTACCCAAATACATTGTAAAAACTGAACATGAGATAAAATGGTCTCAAACTAGTAGGTTTACTTAGTATGGTATGTCTGCGGTGTACTAGTTTCTTATTTAACAGACAACGAGCCATTCTAGAATTAATCAGAACTATTACTGGATTTTCGCAATTAACTCAACTTTGCCGATAATTCCAAATTTATAACCAGAATTGAGTACATGGCAAAGAAAAATGCAATGCAAATTCTTTTCACTCGTGAGCAGATGCCTAAAAAGCCTAACAAAAAACAATCTAAACTGATATAGCTTAAGAAAAATCCGCCCCCTAACGGCTTATAAATGCAAAAATTGTTAATGAATATACAGAATGGGAGTGTGATTGGATTTATGTCGACTGTAAAAAGATAAATGTATAAATTAAAAAAATATATATATTAATGCCAATATCTATGAATATGTGCATCGATTAGAGGGCAAACATTGGCTCACGACCGCATTAGACCCTAATAAAGAGCAGATTTATTATGGCAATTATAAACAGCTTTCCTAGCCTTAACCGAAGGCGTTCGGCCTCAATTTTATGGAAGTCAGAGGAAAAAGGCCGAGTAAGAAACTGGTTCAGCTATTTCAGCAAAGTGTAGCACGCTTGAATTAATTTTTACAGATAATAATACAATCCCGGCCCAAATAGAGAAAATAACTAAAGGGGGAAACTTGGATTGAAGATAAAAAGTGAGTTTGAAGAATATATTCGGATATGCATGTGAAAACAAAGTAACAGTCAAAAAGGAGTCATATGAAAAATGTGAAAATCTGATCCTAGAAAAATTCCGATTTATTTTTGGATAAAGTACTTCGTTTACTAATTCCCAAAAGTTGATCCATTTTGGAATATTTGATATTTTTGAGTAAGATGCGATTCGATGAAAAAGTCGAGCCATCTGCTCAATTCACTATAGGCAGTCACACTAACAGGTCCTGGAACACAAAAACGAGTCTGATTTCCAGATTCTAAAGTAAATTTTCTAAGTGAATTTAGCATATTAGAAAAAAGATCGCTAACATAATATTTGAAACTTCACATAAAGCATCTTCTTGGAATTTACATAGGTAAGTAATCACACAAATTATTATTGATTGTAAAAACATGATAACAAATATTAAGTCGTGAAGGCCAAGATAGTGTGGCCTTCAGTATTCTTGCGGTTTCCTTCCGTTGTATAGAAATGGTTTGATCTTGCTTTCGCAACTAGGATTTTGTTACCGTAGAGAGCTAAAGAAAGCACCTAGTCCTTAGTCCTCTGCCATAGTAACCTTGATAAATTTCAGC